CACCTGTGATTCTTTCACACTTGCACAGAATTGCACATGTGCTAAGACTCAAATCTGTCATATCTATCGTCACAAGGAATTAACATTGTTTGAATTTCTCATTAACATGCCAAATCATACAATTAACAATCAGAAAAGTTCTGTATATTGCTTATGTAGAAACATGATACTCATTTATAGATTTGAATGAAAAGATGTTACACTACATTTTTAACATATCAATTCTAAGTGCTTATACAGTACCGTTTCCTAAAGTCTAGTCTTGATTTCAGAACACTAAAACCTTCCTAGAGACCGTAACAGGGACATAATTGGAAATGTTAAAGTACCTGAGACTACCTCAGAAGCTTCAACATTTGTAGCAGATAATAGCTCAAATGTAAGGGTAAAAACTGATTATTCATTTTTGACATATATACTGGAACCTTACAAATCAATCACACAATCCATCATATCTCAGCCTGGACTCTTAATCTTCTTGTAAATATAAGGATTGAAAGAGATGAACCATCTTAATCAGATCTTTCCTCCATCACAAAATTACTACTGTCACTGACACTGACACAAAAAATGACTAATTTCAGTTCGAATCTGTAACAACTACTAAAAAAAGGTTACATTGCCCACCAAATACATAAACAATGTAAAAGTTCAAACCTTATTTATAGGAAATGCAAGTCATTAACCGACTACCCATAAAAGTCAGTGAATCACTAATTCCTATGGCAAAGCAGCCGGAGACATTCTACTACCTCAGCACCTATTACCATGACCACATCTGTCAATTCTTGGATAACTCTTAACAAAGAGAAAAAAGACATGACATGTCACCCCCTAGAACCTTTACGAGATGACAGATGGCATACAGTCTCCAATTCGCTCTAAAACTTCAAATGGGAAAAAACTGCACTACTACTTCTCAAAAAGTCTTGTTTCCATTTGGAAGTTCGTATTTGCAAGAGTCCAGAAAAAAGTATCTGAAACCAAACTGAAGACAAACTATGCACGGTCTCCCCGAAAATTCAGTGTGTTCACAAAGCAAGCACTGAGAAAAATCACAGAAGGGAGGCCACAACCTACAACTCACTTCTCAGCTGTCATTCATTAAACAACAGTGGTCATAGGTGAAGAGAATCACAACTGAAAGCTTCCAGAAAGACTTCCTCTCAAAGAAAAACTGAAAATAAGAGGCATATTTCACTTATGTGAATTGTAAAAGTGAACTATATGAAACAATATTTGTAAAATAGCACTTCCAATAACTCCTCAAAACCATAAAAAACTCAGAAAGTTTTTGCTTCTGAAAAACTGGAAAGAAAGAAAGGAGATTCAAATTACAAAAGAGGAATTTTGTACACCACGCAAAAGCAAATATGTCCTAATATTTGACAACTATTTCAGATTTTTAAGTCAAGTATCTTTTTCTTCCCAGTTACAAAGGAAAATTTGGAAGCTGACAATTTTAACATTAACCTCCTACGTCAGAAAATACTTGGGGTATTTCCTAATGTTTTCTGAAAACCGGAAAAAACATCAAAATCACACTAAATAGTCTAAATGTTGTATCACTGAGACTTTACAATTTACAATGATGCCCAACTACAGTTTTTCTTTAGCAACTTTTTTCCAAGAAAATGAAAGCTGCGTTACAATTTGCAACAAACATGTTAACAGCAAACTGCAAAACATATATTGATTTCCCTAGCTGCCTTACATATTGAGGTTTTGGCGTCTTATGTTTACCATATCAAATGTAAAGGCTTGCTTTGATTTTCCTCAAGAACGAGATATTACTATATTTATTTCTACTAAGCATAATACTCCTACTTCATTACAAAGGAAGAGACATTAACAGTTTCATACCAAGAAGTTTGAGCCAAAGAAAGCTGTTATACAAGCCAGTAAAGTTTTGCTGCTTGTCAGCTCAGAAGAGCATGAGGCTTCCAATGACCTTCCTTGTACCACGAATCCAATTTATGGAGATAGAAGTCTCACATCTGTACCTCGACATATTGGGAGGTACATTACAGTGATATAAAAGTTTAATTTTCTCTCCTAAACCATACCTGTTTAAACCAATAAAGAACTAACACTGCTCTTACTCACTCAAGTGTCGTCAGTAGTTATAAAACGTTGTACTGTTTATGCAGAATTCATTTAGAATGCAAGGATGTGACTTACAAATGTCTTTGACTCATTCACATAAATATGCATGCACGCCATTTATAACAGTAGCCTTGATGAGAACACACAGTGTAACTGGCTGCAAGAAACGCTTAAGAGGTTTACATTAAAACAGAATATAGAACGGTGGTTAGAAATCACAGAACAGGTGACACCTTACTCTGATAACCTGGTGATAAAAACTGTAGGGTATGATGTATAGGTTGTGGCGTTACCACTTTACTATACCGTCTGAACAGTATTCCTCAGATACTGCTCAGTTTTAGCACGACATAATACCCAAGGCAGACCACATATAAAAACTGTGATTAATCTCAAAAAAAATTGTGATTGCCTCCTAAATTGTTAGCTTGAAAACAAAGACATTTAAACTTTATTTTGTATTAGAATGTTTGTAATACAAACCTTTTCACAGTATAATTACTTCTTGTAATTTGCTTCAACTATTAAAATTCTGTCCTTTTAGCAAGACTTACAATTTAACAACTAAAATGCAGCAATCAATGGGCATAAATAGAAAGTTCAGGCCATCTGCAGAATTCCTGTGATCACAGAATGATTTTCTCATAAGACTTCCAGACACCACTATTGCTAACTCTTGAAATATATTGCTGTTACAAATCAGAAAATTGCATGTGCTGGCTATTAAACAAAATAAAGCCAAAGGGCTTTCAGAAATGCAAGAAAAACTATATTGAGAAGAACCTACAGTGGAAAAAATATAACTAAAATTCTAATTTCAATTTTTAATAATTAAATTTACTTTTTTCCCAGGTATTTGAAGCCAAAGAAGGTCTAATTGCAAAACTTGTGCTACTATAACGGCTCTGATAATCTTTTGATTTATTAATCTGTTGATCACATATAGGTATCTGGTCCCACATGAAGTCCTATAAAGACAGAAAGACATTCATAAAATCCACGAACACTAGTTCTATTGCATGACTGTGTCCAGAGTACTCACTAAAAACAATTCTTTTTCACAAATTGTCTGTCCGAGTACCTAATTACGTAAGTCCACATGTTTTAAAATCTCCATACAAATAGAGTTTAAGGTACAGATGAAAGGCTGTTGACAAAAGATGAAGTTACCAAATAATATTTCTATTCAATGTAGTACAGAACAATGCCTAGTTGTCTAATGAACTAATGGAAACATTAGGTAATCTACATATATACATCATATAGGACAATTCCATGTGGCCTTCATCAGTTGCTAAGGCCAAATAAGACCTTCCACAATACGGCCAGCTGCTGGTGCCAACCAGCTACTTTATAGATACCTTCCACTAACTATGATAATTATTCCAGAATGTCTGTATCAACATACAATTGCATCCATCCTATATACTGCCAAATAGGCTCAAGCTGCTAAGGCCATTCTTCTAGCAGTAATTTAAGTATTGTTATAGAGAAGAAAAACATTATCTATCATACAGACAAGACAGGAAGATAATGTCCAATAGCGTGCTGTAAACCAGAATTTCTTAGTAGTAGCACACATGTAAAAAGCAAAACTTGTCCACCAACAAAGAACAAAGCAGGGAAGACTTTGCACTGATATTTAAACGAATGATATACAAATATATCACTCAGACAACAAAATGGCCTCACCATGCAATACTGCTTTTTTTAAATAGAGCTAATATTTACTTCAGACCTACAGGTTACTACATTAAAAACCCACATAGAGCAGATGGAAAGGCTGCTTGCCAGCAAAAGAAAAGATTAAAAAAAACCCTCAGCCTTTTAAAAGCCAGTTGAACTGTTGGAAACAACTGAAAATTAAAACCGCCCACCCTCTGCACATGTATTCTTGATGGTCCCCAAAGGCATCCATCAACAACTCCTCTGCTAGAACTATGATCCCTAGCACACCTCAGGAGTCACGGTAAAAGAGACTACATTATCATTGCCCACAGTTCAAGTAAAGGGGTTGAAGTGGATGTTGCTTTATCCTGGAATCAATAGGGGGGTTTTGTTTTAATTACTTTCTAGGGCTCAAGTAACGGAGAACATATGGCTGCTGTTTAAGATGTTAGAATATAAAACTGCAGCCTGTATATGGCTCAGTGTAACAGGGCTTCACGGTATCTTTTCTGCTGTTCCAGTCATAGGTGGAAGCTTGTGGTCTATACAGATCTACAAAACGATGCCAAGAGAATAGGGACATGATTTCACATCAGTTGCCCTGTTTGTATAAATCTGATAAAGGTGAAAGAATTGTGTAGGTTTTTTTATTTAATAATAAACTGGACATGTGGCATAATTTTGCTTCTTTCAGAAAAATCCAGTTCATTATTAAATATCTGTCTATGAATGGTAGATGCACTCTCAGCATTAATTAGCAACACAAATTGAAAACACCTATCTTCCTGTAACTTCAGGAAGACTAAAACACAAATTTTCTCAACCTATCAAAATGCACAGTCATCCTTTTGGACAGACATCGCTCCAAGTCTCCTCTGTCCGTTTTAAAAAAGGATAGCTACGTATGAGTTATATTTCTCACTTCCTAAGTACTTTCCATAGGACTTATTACCATAGGCAGCCACCACAACAGCCAGCTATTACAAGTTGCATTTGTAATACAATGAAAATTGTTTCAAAGTATTAGAGTAGCATAATTTCCAACATTTTTTTTTCTTTTTTCCTTTTTTTTTGAGGGGGCGTAATTTCATAGCCAATGAAAATGTAAAGCAAATAAAACCATCACGAAATTGTTAACAGCATGATTCCTATTGAATGATATCTGTTAGCATTAGGTTACAAGGATTTCCTTTTTTGAAGATAGGTATTAGAAAAGTGAAGCTTACCTGCAGAAGCACTGTGGAATCTCTCCTTGACCATACAGAGGAAACAAAAATGGTGTATTGCCATAGCGGCCAAGGCACTGAAGAAATTTTTTTGTTGCCTGAAGACCTTCAAGAGTGCTGCAATCAGCCTCTGAAACCATTGCAATAGAGTGAAGAATGAAGTGCTGCAAGCTGGGTGTTAACTTCCGTGTTCTTAAGAACTGAGCAAATGTACTGTTCTCGTAGTCTAAGGAAAAAGTAAATTTAGGTAAAGGGCATAGTGTAACATTTGTATTTTCTCATATGCTTCAACTTAAGCAAGTACTTTTGTATTTATATAAACAAAAGCAATTGAGTTTTTCAACAAACATATTGCTGAAAATGGATAATACAAGTCAATGAAAGTTTAAAAATTTATTCCCGGAAAGTGAGTTTTCTCAGGAGACAGAAATATCGCTCCATTAAGAGATTCCAAAACAACACAAACCCATTGTATGAGTCTCCAACAGTTTAGAAAGGAACCTCTAATTATGGCTTGATCTATTCATTATGTTAGACTTGATCTAAACCCATTTCTCAATTGTGTGAGAAAAGTGAGAAACTGTGGACAAAAATCCACAGAGGTGCCTTAGGATGCTGTTCCTGTGAATTACCCAAAATATTATACCTGAATGACACCCATTCAAGAAGAGTACTGCTGAATCCATACTGATATGGTTAGAGTGTATATTTACGCGCAGAGAAGCTATTCACATAGTGTCTTAATCCAAAGATGAGAAGGCACAACATTTATTTCAAACTGATGACTTGCTCATCCATACCAAACAAGTATGCATGAGACACAAAGACAACAGGGATAAGGAAGCATATCCCCCCCTTTAAATTAATACTATTGCTGACACATTTTGAAATTCAAAGAAACACACTGCAAAAAAAACACTTCTGAAAAACTTCAGTCATCTTAATAACCAAATGATTTTTTTTTCCCCCAGGAGAAGATTGTATTTAAGCAATAGCATACTTGCATACTACTCAGAAATCCGCTCTTAAGCTTATTTCAGTCATGGATAAATTCATAGGTAATTCAAAAATGCTTCCATCAATGCTGAGACTAGTATTACCAAGCGATATATTCTGTTCAATATTCAACCACTGTTTTATTACAAATGTCTCTTACTACCCTTTGTACAGCCATGCAGCAAGTCATAAAATGACAGGGTTTTTTTGTTTTATCGTTCTAAAAAAATTCTCAAGTTCTTCCTCACTTCAGACTTCTTACATAACTCCAAATTTTACAGAAAAAAGCTTTAAAAAAATTCTTCACTATCATGAACTCTCCCTATTAAAAGTCTGCCTTCCCACAAATGTAATGATCTCACCAAGACCAATTTTAAATTTCTGAAGTCTTTACATTAGACTAATCTGACTCAAAATATTCCCAATTACTTCCCAGGCTATTTTAAAATGTAGGAACAAAATCTGTTTAACTACCTCTGGAATGAAAATAAATCTAATGTCATTTAGGTACATGAATCAATGAATTCATTTAAAATTGATGTGGCGTCTCCTTTTTTTACTTAATAAATTTTCTAAAAACCAACTATAGTCTCACTCTGAGCACCTTCATTTCTTCCATCAACAGCAAACCTGAAATTACTTGTAATCTATAAACCACTTCAGTCTAATGAGTTTTTCCCCCTTCAGGATTTTCTGGAGTTCATCACAGACTTTTTCTCCTAATCTCAACACATAATTTTCAATATTGACCAATTCTCTCTTGCGTATGTTTGAACTAATTTTTCTTTAATGTTTGTACCTAATCTAAGGGTCTTGTTCAAACCAATACCAGTATCTTAGCAATTGTTTCTTTTTAACACTAGATTCTTTCAAAAATACTGCCTAGCCAAGCTACTGTCAAGCTACAAAAGCACCAATATGCTTCAGTCTGAAATGTACGTCAGTAGCTTAACTATTCCTCTTTCCTCATTATTTCTTTTTGACAGATTTTTCTTTTTTTGCCTTAGTTTACTTTTAGACTCCAAGAACTGAGAACATCACTTCATTCTTTGTAGCCTGAGGTGCATAAGCCCAAAGCAGAGAGTGGGTTTCCATCACCTTCCTTCTGTTAGCCAATTTTCCTCTTTGACCTGATGCTCATTATTCCTTGCACATTATGGCTCAAATCTGTTCAAATTTTCTCTCATCTAAATAAGCCATCAGTTGATAAAGGCACTTTGAACTTGCCCTCTGCAACTAGAAGGCATTAAATTACATTTACTTTCAAAAGTTAAAAATTCTATTTTCTTAATTTCTGATTTTGTGGCACCATATTGTGAAGATTTACATATTATCCAAAAAAACGGAAAGGAAAAATCAGGTACATCACGCCATATTAAAAAATCCCTGGGAGGGGGGAGGAAACACCTAAAAATTACAAAAAACATTTTGCAACCTTGCTGTAATATGTAATTTTGCTGTTGAAGAAAAATGTAAATAATAAATGACGTGGGAACTAGAAGAGCAAGTGCTTAAGTAGAAGAATTTAACATTGAAGTAAAAAGGTCACAAAAAGGTCAAAGCATACTTTGAAAATGAATCCATAAAAATAAATTGTGTGAAAACACAGGAGAGCTATCAAAGTTGTGCATAACTGAATGAACTCATAAGAAGAGAGTGTACACTGTTCAACGAAACACTACCTTGGTATTCATCAGGGTGTTGTTCATAGTCCAAACAAAATGTCAAAAATTTCATTAGCATTCTCTTTTCCACCATAGTGAGCTGTCTGCTGTTAAAGACATCTGCTCTAGAACAAGGTACCTGGAAAATATTTTTTAATAATTTCAGATAATTTCCATAATCTGGATAGGAAAAGCATCAAGCAACACTATAGTCTGATTACCTAACAAATATTTTAAATTACTACTTTCTATTATAGTTATTTTCTTTTATATTTCTTTCCATTATCTTCTATTATAACTATAATAAAAGTTACCAATTTTCCACAATAAAAATATTTTAAAATCTTTTAAAGCCTCTTCCCCTTTTTATTTCCCTTCAATTTCACTTCCATCTCTGATTGCAGAGTTAATCAAAAGAATTTGTATTAATTAACTGTGCCAACATCTCCTGTTGCCATTATCAGACCAATGACTTCCCTTGTTAAGTAGCAGAGAAACAATTCAAATTCCTAGCATAGACTTGATAACCTAAAACCTGTGAATCTTTAAGAAATAACTGTCAAGTTGATCATGGTCTAAATATTTGACATGAGGCGAAGACTTATGTCAGTAATTTACTGGACTGCACATTCTTATTTTAGCTTTTTTTTTTTAAAATACTTATATATAACACATAAAAATCCAGAAATTAAACAAAAATCAGAATCTTAAGGAAAAATACCAGCTTATTGTTACAAAACTCTCAAGAAACCAATTTCAAGTTTCTTGACTTTAAAAGATGAGATTAAACATATGCAATACATTATTTTACGATACCTGTTCTACTTTTCCTTCTCGAAAGGCAAGAATTCGTGTCGCATTTTTGAATTCTGCATATCTGCTAACGTTCGACTTAATCAGAAGGTCAATTAACAGACCTCGGGAGTAAAGCAACTGCACAGTGAAGAAAAAAAGAAAATGGTGAGCAAAGAGAAAGTGTTTATACCAAAAGAAAACAGTGATACCAACAGTATTGATTTGTAAGGTGTTTTCTTTAAGTATTTACAAGTACACACAGTGAAGTAAAATCTGAATAAAAGAACATCAAGATGTAGTATGTGCAAAATAATATTAAATGAACTGAAGTGACCATGCAAACGGAGGAGACAAAGCAGTCCACAGGAGAGAAAGGGAGAAGGTGTCAGCGTACTGCTCATTTAGTTTTATTAGTCTGGGAGTCATAGCTCAATTTTTCGTATTGTCATCTTGGATAATTTCTTTGTATTGTATGCTATACATCCTTGAAAACCATATTTTACAACCTTCATTTCCCAGTACCAGTAAAGTACATGACGCTGTCTTTGTAAATCACCACTAGTTGTTTCTTAAATTACCTGAAATGATAATGCCACATTTTCTAAATGTAAATTCCTTAAACCCCCAGTTAAGGTTTAGTCATATTCTGTTATATTAATTTATAAGCTACAAATAGATTATGAAATACTGGGGACAGAAATGTAACTATTTACAGAAGACGTATGTCTGAATTGAAAAGCACTGGAGATTAGTTTAAACATGCTTCAAGCCTTGTGGCCCTGAGTAACAGAATTTGCATGACAACACAGAAATTTTCATGATAAAGGTTTACTGGAACACTAACGAGGACACTATGAGAAAGTCTGTGTCCCAGTGCCAGAGAGAAACCAACGTAAGTTACTAGTCTTGCCTTGATGACTACTCTCCTGTCAGAATTTCTGGAATTCATTGCATTTAACACCATGTAAAACAGTGGCACAGAATAAGTATAAAAAGGATACAAAATAGTATTATCTGCTTAACCACTATACAGTGACTATTCTTTTCATGATGTCTTTCCAATGATGCATGAAAGAGGTATCTACATTTGGAACACAGAGACAAAATTTGAAATAATGCATTTTGTAGTGTCTCCACAAAGAATTTAATAAATTATTGAAGAAAGTTTTTTTCCAAGTTTCCAGAGATACGAAAAATCTTTTCATGCAGATTATGAAAAATTAAGCATTCAACTTTGAAAAAACTTCCCATTGCAGAGTACACATATAGTCTAAAGCACAGAAGTTAAGAAAAATTTCCATTTAACTTGAATTTGCAGGGCCATATCCATATACTGTGAAGTACGTAAAAGGCAGAGTTCAAACAGTATAACAAATATGTCAGACTAACAGCTTCTCCTCTAAGTAAAACGCATGCTTGTAGGAATTCAACACAATAACAACTAATTTTAGTCAGCTTGTATATTATGGATTAACTGTAATTATTTTTTCTTTCCAATAAAATTTATTACAATTCAGTGCTTTAGTCGCCAGAGAACCAAAACTAGTATAGAGAGACAATGAGAGTTTCACAGGAAAATCTAAAACCCAGGAAGCACTCCAACAGGAAAATTACTTTTCATTTTAAAAACATCAAAGATCTGTATGTAAAGTGATTTTCCTTGTTTAAAAACATAATTTTTTAAAATGGTACTATTTAAAAAGAGCGATTTTGCAGATATTACTTAAATCTACTTTTACGGACATATTTCTGAGTTATGCTTTATGGTCTCTGCTTATAAACAAACACTAAAGAGCACATATGAAATAGCTCGTTTGTTTTAATTCTTGCTTACTTTTCAAGAGTGTCTTTTTTGTCTCAAAGGCACTGTGTCAGCCCCCCACAACATTCAAGATTTTTTTAAAATTCCAGCATTTTAAGAAAAGGAAAATGTACTTATATGAAAAGAGTCATTCAGTTCCTACCTTAGAAACTAAATCAATATTAAACCTTCTGCCTTCTCTAACAATTTGGGAATATGTAATTTTCTTTGGTTCTTGGGCAGAAATTTCTGAGGGTGCAGCTTCAGTTCTTCCCAATTCCAGAGCAGACTCGCCAAAAGCCGCACTCTGAGAACTTTCATTCTCAGAAGTTATTTCCATATCATTCCCTTCCATTGCACTTCCTGGCTCAGTGCCTGTAGCCTTTTCTGGTTCCCGGCTCTCTGCCTCCGGCAAGGCGCTCTCCATTGGTGGGTGCTCTTTTTCCGACTCCTGAGCAACCCCCTCAGCACTAGAGGCTCCAAAGACAGGCAGCTTTGGCAATGCACCAGCTTCTTCAACATCTTCAGCTGAATCCTGACTGATTAAAAACACAAGGGGAAGGGGGAAAAAAGTTTTTCAGAGAGTCTTAAAAACTTGTTTAAAGTTTTGAGTCAGTGCCAGAATGGAAACCTCAAGCATTTCTATGAAAAGCATTAGAATTTCTTTATCCTGGCCAAATCAGGTGTACCACCCACTAAAGAATTCTGGTTCTTTGACTGCAAAGCTATAATTCAAGAAGAGGATTTTTACTGAGGAGAAAAAAAAACCAAACACAAAAAAACAAACAAAAAATTGGGGTTCTTACTTTACACGGTCTCAAAAGATGGAATAAGCTTAAAATGAAAATCACAACTCTCATGGTGAAACACAATACACAGCTACATAAACAAAAGAAATATAATATTTTAAAGAAGAAACGGTAAAGCAATTTGATTAGGTTTTTCCTATGGATTAAAAAAACCCTTTGAAATTGAAATGCAAAAATGCATTGAAGTCATTAAGCTCAGATATTTTAAAAACCAAACTCACTGAAGAAAACAGAAGTGCTTTATATCACTGAGACTGCTTTGCATCTATTATCATAGCAAGTCCGTACGAGAAGTATTCAATTTTGACCTGAAGTTTAAGTAAAACTTTCAGATTGCTTTTTCAACTCCCACCTTGCATTCTGATTAGTTGTTCAAGTAACAGCCATACAGAACAAAGTTCCCTCATGTAGCAATGTTATTTTTATGCAAGTGTTACAAATTTGTGCATAGTAGATGAAAGCAGCCAGTCAAAAAGAGGGACATCACCACACAACATTTACTCTGTATAGTCCATTTCCTTTTCATGACACCATTCTTTAAAATTCCTCTTATAAAACAGACCTCCACTTTTAATCTCATCTACTCTTTTTATCTTGAACTTCAATGACATCTACCTTAGAAACTAGTACTTTTGAACTTAGAATTTTAGTTTATACTACCAGCTGAGATGAATCAAATCAATGTCATTGTAAGTGAAAGGAGTTCAGCAGTAATTTCACACTATCTTTTTATCTTTTTACCACAAGCCATTAATGCACCGAATAAACAACTTAATCTTGGCTGAAAACTAATGAACTATGATTTTAAAGGTGACCTGCAAACGTACAGTATGAAATTTCAATAACTAACAGCATGGTTAAAATTCACCGAACAGTAAGGAATTATTCAGTATACATATAAAAATGCTCCCTCACACATCTGTAGCCTTACAGATGGAAGCAGGGAGCAAGATTTCTGCTAAAAGAGGGAACAAAACCCCTGTATCCTTTAAAAGTTGCTCCTCACTTATGAGCTCAGGGAGCTCACATGGGCTCACAAAAATAAGAGTTTGGAGTAAGTCTCTCAGCTTGTGCACAGCCACCAGGAAGCACTTATTCATGAATGGGGTAAAATATTGCCCTGGGAAATACAGGAACTGCTACAAGGAAGCACTAATGAAAGAAGTCTGTTTCTGTACATTAATTATATCTTTTTGCTTCATATTGCAAGCATTAAATAACTATAAAATATCAAAGATAGGTAAGTACTTTGTCAAATGTTTTTTAAAAAAGTAACCTTTACTAAAAAAAAACAAATGAAAGAATTAAATTTTGGGGTTCTGTTTGGATTTTGGGGCTTTTTTAGAAATTTGAAACATGGCGTTTGTGAAAACTGCAAAAGCTATTGCCATTAAACCAGTAACTAATAATGAAGCTTTTATTTAACCCATCCTAAAGCTTTTTATAACACAAAAATTCAGAGGAAATTTTTCTTTCTACCTTCTCCCAAGCTCAATGTACAGTTCAATCTCATTTTAAACATAATTATTACTTTTTAAATCAAAATAAAATTTGGATTCACAATACATTGTCTTTTTTCTATATCACTCTGAAAAAGCAGTGTAACAGAAATTATATATTTACATATTTTAAATCTCTATTCAATTCCCATTAATGAATACATAAATCTGCATGATTTGCAGCTCTACACATTTTATAATGAAAGCCTAAAAACTGTATATAATCTAAATTCATGACATCCTTCCTATAGGAACAAATATCCCTGAATAATGTAAGAACTGTCTATAAAAATCACTCAAATTGAACTTTTGGTCAGACAATTCTTCTCCTAATTCAGAAAAAAATAATACATCTGCAGATAAATTGTTGTGTAAATTTAGAATATTATCTTCCACCATTCATCAATTAATGGTACTAACAAAGGAATATCTTAAAATGAATGTGTCTTATTAATGCCTTGTAACAGCAACCCCTTCAGATAGGTCAAATGAAAAATTGCCAACCAGCTGGTTAATTTATTCAGCACAGGTGTTCACTATTTATTTTTCAGCCATTTGCCTTTTTTCAATACAGCTTGTTGTAGACACAGTATTCTTTTCCTTTGATGGATGCACTTTGTTCTAAGGCCATTCATTTCAGATTTGCACTGTGTATATTATACTGCTACCCAGCTGTTTATTCTTTCAAAATAAATGTCTAATGGTTACTTCATAGGAGTTATAAAAGTTAAGCAAAAACAACAGAATCTAGCCAAAACGTGTAAATTGTCAGAAACACAATAATTGACTCTCAGAAAGTTTTAAGTTATTTTGGAAAACTTTTTCTTTGCTAGGTTTATTAATCTTACCATTCTTCCTTGTGTGTTTTTGGGTTTTTTGGAGACAGCATTGTATTGCCAGGCTAAGTTAAATGCTTAAAAGTAGAATCTTCTATTTTGTCCTGACTCAAGTATAATGTTCACTTCTACGAAGTGTGAAATCTTCGTGCTAGGGGACTCATTTTTGAGCCGGCCATCAGTCAATATCACATCTTCTTAGGAAAATCATACGCAAAGTTAAGAAACTATGAAAGCTTTAATCTGATTTAAGACTGGTTCTGAACAATATTTATTATGGCAAAAGGATTACAACTACAATATTCAAGTGATACTGCTTTAAAACAAGCACAACATTTTATCTGCAATACAGTCAAGCAGCCATTACTGTGCAATATAGAACTTCGGAATATTCTGAGTCTGTGACCTTCAGATTGTATTAGTACAATTCACACTTTTTTTTCTTCTTCCCTACTAAGATGTTTACAGAAAGAAATACATGTTTCTATACAAGTATCTGTCAACGTTTCATTCAGCTACCTATGATATTATCTAAGGCATTCAAGGTTAAACTTACGTAACTATCCCAATGGACCTTTCAGGAATTCAGAACAGTGTTCAGCTCAGTGCAAAATCCAAAAGATAAAAATGATAAATAAATACAAAGAAATAGTTCAGTTTTCAATTGAGGCCCATACAATTTCTATTCAGTATTACTCTGCTTATGTGCTATTCAAAATTACTGCTTCACAAGGTTACTTTTAAATGTTCCTTGATTTTCAATAATATGACATTGTGAAAAGCTTACCTTCTGCATGACTTACATATAACAAAGTATCATACTTCCATTTAAAAATCTAAACAAGAAGTGAAATTTGTATTCTTAACTTCTGCTAATGCAGACATACCTCTACAAATACCTAACTAAAAGCTATTTACCACATACTCAATCCTAAGATGGTATACTCTTTCGCACATGCTTATGCCACAAATATTCACTTAAGTAAATGTGTGTATTTCAAACCAAGCATGTGTTTTTTGCATGTTGTTTGTAAAGTAAGAGCTAAGTTACCTTACTTCAAAAACAGAAAGAAGGTGACAGCCCAAAAAGACTAACTGTTAGTATATTACCAGGAGCCTTTGACCACGCAATTCCTTCTAAAGCATCATGGGTAAGCACTGTTTAATAAGTAAATTAAATCCACTGAATTTAAAAACGACAAAGGGCAAATATTACTCTATCATTTTAGCACAATTAAGTATTTCATAGTTACAGTACTACTGTCCATTTGTGTTCCTGTTCTTGTGTACTTACTTTATTTTACATGTACTTAAGAGTTTAACTTTTTTACTATGAGAATAGCAGTTTTAGCCAAATTAAGAATGGAAAAATTTAATAGATGGTAGTGCATTAACTACCTACTACTACTAATACCTACCAACACAACACCTCTCTTTTCTACTCAGAAGTAAATTACCAAGTCACAAAGTTGGCCAACAAATTATATTGCATCCAGGTAAGGTCATTTAAGAAGAATCAGCTAGCTTCAATGAAGTGCAAGTGATTTCAAAAAAAGCACAAGGACATTAAGAACATTTTAGAGCTCATGGTTACTTTTTGAGACAACATGCAATATGGTAGCATGGTGAAATGCTTGAAGCCAAAAGCACAATATGATTATTTACCTCTGGGCATATAAAATCATTTGTATATTTATACTTACTCGCCAAAACAGAAATCTTCTACATGTTGAATAGTTTTATCCTTCTTGCTAAGAGAAATAACTTCTTCATTCTCAAGGATCAGTTTTCTCCAGTCTTCACATTCATTATTGATATCTGTCTTTTGCTTACAAAGAACAATTATAAAATTACATTTTGTACTGTGCTAGCTGCTTTTGAACTATAAATATCTATAGTCCCAAATAAATTGTTGTACCATCTTATATTAAAAAAAACCCATCTTAATTGTCTTAATGTTTTTTCTATTCAGATTTTTTTGAGTTAAAGTAGTTAGAGCTGGTTACTTTATTATAGCATGCCAACATTTGCACTACTTTACTAGCTCTGGTAATGTGAAAATGCAGTGTTAAATTAAATAGAAGTTTATTAGTAGAGAGTTGAATATAACTTTGAATACAATCTAAAAGACAGGTTTGCTACAGCCAGGTTAGTTCCAAATTTTGTGACAAAACTCTTTGAACAGAGACCATATGAAAAAATACAGCAATTTGGATATTATATTAATCTATCCACATTGCAATCTCTACATCATATAACAGAACCCTAAGAATATTAAGTTCTGACATTGAGCAACTCCACTGATTACACCAGAAGGTAGCACTATGTAATAAATAGGCATGAGACTGAACTGAAGAAGTTCCATCTTCTACGGACCAACAGGCTCATAATGCTTCAGTAAATAATACGAACATCCATTTGCTAATATAGTCCAAGTGCTCAATCTCCTAAATAAATATCCACTTCAGAAGATTTCTAGTGGACTGTCATGAATTAGATAAACTTTGGTAATTGAAAAATACACTATCGACATTAATCTTTTTGTCCTGGTAACAGGACAATTCAAGGGAAGGATCCAATAACTACCCTTCTCAGAGTTAAGAAGAATCAGCTGAAAGCACAGAAGAAAAACAAAAGGGACTGAAACATCAGAGAGCGGAAAATAATCAAACAGGAAATGGAAAAGACCAGATTATCATTTACAGAAGGTGCTGGGAAAGGAAACTAAACAATAGTGTAGTTGCTTCTACATAAATTCAGGAACCCAAAAAGTATGACTGAGCACTAGACTGTTTGGTCTCAGATAATAACATTAATGAACTAGGCATATCAGAATCTTAGCATGCTAGGCCAGACGCTTAAGTCTTAACCAGTGAAGTTGGAAAGTAGAAACCTCCTTCATTTGTCAAATTACCAAAAAGAAAGAACACTGTGATAATGTCTTGTAACAAATTATGCAAACAACCAAGATTTAATGTTAAAGAACATTAAAAGAAGTCATTTGGGTAATTTTTACCTGATTTTCTTTAATCCAGGACAATAATCCTGAAAAACTAAAGCTGGCCCAGTTTCCACCATAGTAATTTCTCCTGCAAATAAAAAACAACAGTGAAACTTGACGGACAGATAACACATAGCTTCTTCAGGTTTAAAGAAAAAGCAACCAAGTTCGAGACATTCAAAATATTTTCCATGACGGATTTCACAGAATATAAAAATTGGTATAATATTTCACAACTCTTAATGAGATGCAAAATTTCCATTTTCACTCATTTGGATGCATCTATGACTAAATAGACTATAGTCCAAAATCAAATTATTTGGAGGGCAAAAAGAATAATGCTGAGAAAAGCACATGGGATGCTATGAGTAAAAGGAAAACATAGACAATACTGCTTCTTGGCCAAGACTGACTCTCCACGCCTAACTCAAACATGTACATCACTATAGACATCTTTGCTTAGTGTGGAGCCAAGCCAACAAGTCTGCCAGTTTCAACTGAGTTCTCAGAAAAGCCAGTTCAGGTTTTCTGCATCCATACCACACTCCACAGTTTCAGCTTCTGGCAGGACCTAACAGCTTTGTCACATGAGCATAGCTATACTGTTTCTGACTGAAGCTGACTTGGAAGTTAACCTAATTGCACTGCATGCCACTTCTAAACTCACAGTACTTCACGAGATGGCTATGCAAAGGAGGGTTAAGTAAACTCAAATTGGGTCCAGACAGTAGAAATCACTTCTCTCTTATCCATTATGTGAAATAAAAGAAACTTCACTCTATTATTTATCTACTGCTTACAGAACAGATCATGTTTATTTTAGACTGTTAAGATGCTCTGGAAAAATTCTTATTAAACGGCATATACTGTAGGTGGAGCCAAAGGAACTGATTTGTACAAAATGATCATACCTCCTTCAGTACTTTTCAGTTTATATTTACCACCTTCTTTCTTGAAAAATATTAGTTCACTTCTTCTAAATCACAGAACATTAATAGTTTTGCTGTAATCAAAGAAAGCCTCTGCTCTCCCTTTTTTAAATTTTTCTATCAATATTCTCTAAGCATCAGTTAGATTAATTAGCTTTTGTTATCATGCATACCACATCTTAAATATTTAATAACTCTGATAGGAAAAATAATAGAGCAATTACATTTTAAAAAATCACTAGTTCTTGCAAAATGAAGTCATTTCAGCATTTAACTCTGCTTTCTGGCATTGTATGCTGGCACTTCAGAAACATGAAAGATACCAAAACCACCCTCCTGAATGGATATGTAATGTTATTGCATACACTCAAAAAAAAAACCAAAACAAAACAAACCCCACACATTTAGGGAGGAAGATGGGTTTTGCATTTTACAGAATAATGTGAAGACTGATAAATCAAATGAACTTAAAACCTTATCATAACCTCCTCCACTTTTAAATTGTAGAGATAAGTGTGATAAAAGTGAAAAATTAAATTCAGGTTTGATTCTACTGTTTAAGATGGGCTGTTTTGACAAGGCTTATCTGCACTGACAAAGACTTCATTAAGAGTGTCAGTCCCTTTACAGTACCAGAGGGTGATGCTCCATACCATGTTGCTTACTTAGCATATGAAGGACAGATGTCTGCTAAACAATGCCTAATTGCTCCTGACTAGAAACTGACCTAAAAAAGACTTGCAGCTACTGCAAGGCAATAGTGAAGAACATAAACAGGACATCTTTTGCAAAGACAACAAAATCCAGCATTCACTGAATAAAGGTGGCTTCAACAACAGAACATGGTGTTTAAGGCCACGACCTGGGAGGACTGGGTTTACCCTGCAATTTCGTTACTCTAAGCAGAAGAGCTCCATCTGCTGATCTGTTACCAAGCAGAAACTCCAAACATCTATAAAAAGGAGTTCGTACTTGCCTCATTATGTGAATGACATGGGTGAGGCTTAAAAAGTACTGCTGTTTGGTATCATATAGAATACGAAGCAATGACTATTAAATATATTAAATGCCCGATTCTGTCAGATTTCAACCTGTAAAACAGTAACTGATAGTTGCCTGCAATTATAATCTCCAGCTTTGTTTTAACTGTCAATGGTGCAGGTTAATTTCTTGTTTCTTCTTAAGACTCCACTGAATAAAAAGGTCAATATCCATATATTACCTGCCACTTCTGGGATTTCCAAAAAACACAGCCATGAAGATTTATTTTCAAGGGAATCTGCTGCTTTATTTGCAAGTTTCCTTGAATATGGAATACAATCTGGCTGTCAGAGCAAGCAAGGCCATTGATCACAGAAACTGCAGAGAACACCTGCCTAAAATTAGGACTAGGTTTCTTGAATCTATACCAATATAAACTCATGCGTATTTAGAACATTTAAAACGAAAACTTTCAGTAAGAGAAATCAATATGTTATTTTCACAGAAAGTTACAAAAGTTTATTTGTGAGCTGTCCGACATCTTTGATGTAAACATTCCTCTGTTCATCAGGTGGATTTTCCTTTGAAATGGCTTTTCTTTTTAACCACCATTGATGTGAATCAATCTTTTCAACAAAGCACTCTATAATGCTGTTCTCAAGCTCAATCAGTTTTGAGAAGACAGTACGGCCTTTCGCAAATGGAAAATGAATCGCAGCTGTCCTTCCTTTCCTCTGGCATCTGAGCACCTTTCCCAAGTTATGCTATACCACCTCAAAGCATCAACCTCCAGATTTTTCTTCCTGGAATTTTAATTAGTTTACCCTGCATTACATGATGAATCAGGATTAATTTTTTCATCTGAAAACACTACAGAAAGAAGGTAGACCAGGCATGTTTACTGACATAATGAGCCAAAGTTTTTAGTAAAAATCTTGACAAGGAATTCTGAAAAGAGCTGACTAATGGTTTTACAATTAGGAATCCTTTGTAACCAAGTACTTTTGTTGTAATTGCCCTGAAGATGAACCGAGAAATTCCTTAAAGTAACAGTCAAGACCAAAGCCTAATTAAAGCTAAAATATTGTCCCAAAATCTCAAGGACTAAGCTCCTCTCTTCTCTTGCTATATTAGCAAACTACAAAGATGGATATTCTCTCCCTTTTTTTAGGGTCATAATTCAATCATTCTCTAAGTAAGAACATGAAACATTTTGAAGGTGTAACAGCAGAGTTATAGATCGATTTTTCTACCAAGTTAGATAGAGCACAGATGTTTTCTTTTTCTACCATACAGTATTTCCCAGATGATATTTGCTCAAAACTTCTCCTGCATTACCTGGATTTTCATATGAATTAAAATACTGCTGCTTTTAGTTCACATTTTTCAAATCTTGAATCTGTAGTTCAGAGCTAACGGCAGAACTGCTGAAGCCATTTTTGCAAAGTTTTGGAAATGTAGCTCACGTTGAGTTTTACCTCTGCAGAAAGCTTAATTCTCTTTTTTCCTATGTTAGTTTGTGATTTTTTTTCTCAGTTACTAGCACAATTTTTTCTTCAAATTCTTTGAAAGAATTAGCAAATCCCAGTCCAGAACACTGAAATTGCAAATTGTTTCCAGCTAATTAACATTCTGGGAATCCGAACCAAGAGACTATCTAACATGACCTTTTGAAGACAGACTGCAATTTGAGAAATTGAACACTTTTGAAAGCACAAGATACGCAAGTAAAACATAAGAACAGAAAAAGTGTATCATGGACTATGCCTGGTAAGAAGACTGCCCTTCTCAATGCCATGTCGTAACAGTCAAGGTGTAACAATCAAAGCTGGTGGTGTCTGAAGAAAAGCTGCTGATGCCTCGTGATTGCTCCCAAGAGCTGCCTGTATGTGTGTGTCCTGCATTTGATCTTTCAGAAAGAAGTCTCGAACCATCAGAGTAGCTGTCTTTTGCAAAGGAGTTACTGCCACATCGATTTTAAGGATTTGAACACAAAATGACTTACGTTTCAAAGCCATAAAGTTTCATGTGCTACCTATTAAGTACACAGTCACATGTATTAAAAATTCCCATTCTGGCATAGTAATCGTGTTTTGGAGCATGAAAAGCAGACTAAGCTTCCTTGCCTTCCAAGAGGAAGGGTTTAACCCAAACAGCTCTTGAGATCCTTCAGCTCAATAGAAGGGTGATGGTGACAATCACTTGTACTACATTACATTATATCCTGGGATACAAACATGACCAAAGGTAATTATCATGGACCAGCTGAGACCATGTTTTACTCTTGAATACCTTTGCTATGAGATCATATCCTAAAACAAAATGAAAATAAAAACAACTTTTTCAAAAAAGGTCAAAAGGTACCAGAATTAAGAATTTTTGCCTAGGCTTCCTTACTGAAAGTTAAATAATTCCTCAAAAAGTCTGTTTTTCTTGCAAGAAATTGATTTGCTTTGAGAAGCAACCTTTTCCCTCTCTGGTTGCTATACTTACACAGCTACCTCTCTTCACAGAAGTTAAAGATCAAAAAGAAGGCTATATGAAGACACGGGTTGTATTACATTATATATTTTACAAGTTCTGAAAAAAGCAAAACAGATTGTCTAGCAAGAAGTGGAAGAAACTACAAAAGCAGGTATGTTGGGGGTGGGTACAGGGAGGGTCCCAGCACGCTTTTGGATGCTCAGATAAAACAGAATTTTGGACGCAAGGAACACTCAAGTACTCTACAGGCAAAGTAAGGTCAAAAAATAAGAAAGATAACAGGTGTCAAGAAGCAAGACATGAAAAGTAGACAAAGCAAACTGGGCACAAAAGAGAAGTTAAAATCCTGCATCTTGACACTCCTTTGTCTTTGAATTAAACTCTACATGGAAAGATAAATAAGTCATCGAGGAAGGATGTAGACAATAAAGCTATAGTCTACAAATGCTATATTCTAGATGCTGAAAATCAAACAGAAAATGTAGCTAAACATACCTCACCTCTAACTGCCCCATCCTCAGTAACCAAACTAGTACATAACTCTATAGATAAATAATTACAAGAAGAAATATGCAAAGGACCAAAAGTAGAACACATAGCCAGCCATCAGGAGAAAGTCCTATGCATATGAACAATTGGTATGGGAAGGATATTCACCTCAAGTAATCAACTTCTAATCTTGATCTACCTTTCTTCAGCAACTTCAAGTTTAAACTAAGTGCCAATCGCCACATTTTAAATTGCAAATTACTTTTCTAAATCACTTAACAAATATCCTTGAAATTTCACATGTCAACAGCTCATTAATATCTACAGTAAATGTAGCTCTCTGAAAAGAACCACAGATTTTACATTTATTGAGACAGATAGCTGGCACAGAGAAATAGAGCTCCTTCAATTACTATTTGGCAGAAGCTAACTTTAGTTTAAAATCCGTCTACAGGAATTTATGGCAACACTGCAGTGAAGTGACTATTTTGAATAAGATTAGCTACTGTTGATGGCAATGCTTGGACAGCGTTTATAAATCAAACTTAGAACTTCGTATTTTATAATAGGCCACTTCAAAACTATCTTCCATAATCACCTATGCAGTATATTATGATAAATGCAAACATGGCTGGAGATTAAAAGTAATAAAATGATGTACACAAGGTAATGAGTGCAAGCAAACTATAAACAAAGACTTTATCCATATATGTTTTCTATACCTTGTGCCTAACTTAACTCAGACCTTTGTAGAGAACAAAAGGTTAATCAAAGTAGCACACCTAATACAAACACAAATGCAAAAAAAATACAAAAAGTATTTCAGTAACCCAAATCTTATTTTCTTATACTCTGAAAAAAAATTTAAACTCATGATCCTTCAAGAAGGGAACAACATATATTGTTGAAAAGTGATATTCTGAATATTAACAGATCTTTTGTTGATGAATTTTCAATTATACTGTTACCTCAGTAAAATGAAATTTGAAAATTCATCTAGAAATGAATATATTAAACTAGATATATAGTAGATAAAATTAAAATGTTTTAATTCAGATGACTGGCAAGCTTTCTAAGACTTAACTTTTCACTTAAAATTCAAATGGCATCAGGGTGGGGGTTTTCTGTTGGTTTTGGTAGGCTTTTTTTTGCAAGAGTACTAACTTAAACACGAAAAGCAGATGGCTTGAAACGCTTCCCTATTCAAGGGGAAGGGGTTGTACAGTATAAACATTTCTATTTTTTTTACCAAGATACTGATTCTAGACCATGATTCAGTGAGCACATACACCCATTAAAATGGCACCTATTAGTATGAGTGAAGAACACCTTGGCGAAGAACACCTTCCCCTGACCTTAGCCTGCACTAGAGTTGGAAAATAACTCCATAGGAGAAAGGAATCAAATATGGAAGCCTTCATTTTCATCATAAAAACAAAAGCATGTGTGAATGTAAATGAGCATATTTAAGTGAAAACAGTAATAAACAAAATCTGTATTCCACAGTTCTAATTGCCTGCTTCTGTAAGTTTTCTCAACGGCTCTTCATCAGCTAAAAATCGGCATGGATAAAAGAAATTGAAGTTCCAGTGGCTAACTATTATTACAGATAGCCAATGAATATCAAAAATTGAAATAACAGAAGTGTTTCATTTAACAAAATCTAAGTAGTCTACTGGTAATATATGCATTAAGCTTAAAATCCAAACATAACTATTTTATTCATTCTATATCTACTCTAAAGTAAGGTTTTTAGTATTTTGGTTAGCAATCTAACAGCCAATTTAAGAATTACTACACCAAAATGTTTGAAATTAACATACCCTTATACATTATGCATGAGATCTTTATAATAACTTCAGTAAGATCTGCTTGACCTGCATCTAAGCATTCTTTTTGCCACCATGGCAGAACACACAGTATTTCTGGAACTATGTAGTTGCGTATTTCTTTAAAATTATTACAATTTTAAGAGCTGTCTTTGTTTCAACAGAATCATTAGTTACATTAAATATGGAGCATCAAGTACTGCGTTGCTGTGTACTATGCCATTGTGATGTAAAATACTAGAATATTAGCCCATTTAAGGACTTTTTTCCTTACAGTTTCTGGGAGTTTTCCATAGGTTCTCAGAATAGTCCATAGCGTCTGAAGATTCATTAAGATGAGTTCTTAATCCAAATGCCCTCCTCTTGATAAAAACTACTGACTCTGAAGTGCATCACCTGTCCTCACTCCAGTCCAAGACAGGAAGCCAGAGACTTTGTGGGCAGTATAATAGCAAACTGAGCAATTGCAAATCATATTCATGCAACCAAGTCAGTGATCTAGTCTTGCAAATTTTGAAATTGTGTATGATTTCAAATTAGAAATAAATGTATGAAAAACGAATGGGTCCTTTGAAGGGCTGTAGGCAAAAGAGATTACAGAAGTTTAATCTTGAACCAATGATGTTCGGAGAAAATGAACAGCAGAAAGCATATCCTTTTTAAGCTCTTGGTACAAGACACGAGAAAAACTGAAAACATGTATACTGCCTCTGGGAAAAGTCTCTAAAGCTAAGTGCTGGACACACAGGTGCATATCACAAGAATTTTCATAGAAAGGCAAGACCTCAAAAATATGGTGGAAAAATAAAACACTATGCCAACCTTGTAATCTTTGGTGAACAAGTACTAACAATCTGAGCATCTAAGCTCACAGCACTCTTGCTGCTAACGCCACTTCAAAACCACCTGTCACACTTCTCTGCCGAAATCCAGCAGGTATCAGCTAGAGAAGAGGCAACAGGTTGCCTGAAACTAGTCTCCACCTAGACTTTTACTGGTTATTAACAGAGTTATGATTTTACAGTTAAACACATAAGATACTTGTTTTTCCCCGCACTTCAGGTCAAATGTCACCAAATTATCCACTTTGGCTGCATGCACTAAGATTTACCACAGCTGAACTGCAGAAATTTGTTTAACCTTAGAAAATTATTATGCATTTTAGGCTATGACAACATCAAGCAGCAGCGGCGCTGCTTAGGTAGTCTTTGCTTCCTGCTTATGACCCTCTCCCAAAACCATATTGCCCCAGCAAATTGCGTAACTGCACTAACAATGGGACTGAAAAACTTGATCTCACATAATGAACTACAGCAGGCACAGTGCAGGTGTCTAACACAGAAATCTCACCAAATACACTCCATTTGTTATCTTCTAGAAAAACAGACAGTAAAGCAGCCTCAAAAACTGCTTAGATGATCGATCATCCCAAAAAAATTATGAGAATTAGAGTTTTAAAGTGGTAGATGGGAGAGACATGTACTTTAAAAGTTTGTCTTAGCTGAGGCTCCAGCATTTGCTCTCAAGCTTGCCTCAGCAACCAGAGCTCTAGACTTGAGTCATGCTACTAAATTTTGCTGAACAGGTGTACAAATAAGGCAAGGTTCAAAGATCCTAATTTTTTCTAAAAAGTGTGCATCATAGCACATAGTTACACAGTTTATAAAAAAATTGTTAACTTTGGGTAATTGGTAAAGAGAAGTAAAATGAAACGCTAATCTCTTAAAAGGATGCAATGAAATATGCTACTTCAAGTGCTTCAGCAAATCCTTCTGTTTCAAAGTGCCACAGAAGCACTTTTTGAATCAGCTGATTTCAGTGGTATTCTGTACTTATCTTACAAACTGATTTAGCATGGGATAGAGAGAAGACAGCAAACAAAAAAGAGTGCTGTGTTCATCTGCCTTATCAGCCAGATTTCACTTGCCTTCATTCCGATAACAATTAAAATGCAAAAATACTTGTATTAACTTCTCTAGGCATAGAGAACTGATACAAATGAGATACTAGTAAAACATTTTGTCATTAAATGATAATGGCTCAGGTAAAAATTCTCACAAAACCAGAATGGCATAATTACTGCCAGGAAGGATAATGAAGGGCACTAAACAGGGTACAAAAGAAGGAGCCGTCAACATCATCCTTGACCACATTACTTATCTTCTAAATTACTGAGCTAGCATGCAAAAATTGCCTGTTCTATCGATGGAAATAACACCCCCAAAATAAGATAGAGACAGAAGCGTAAGATTACTTGATGCCAGATAAACACTAAACACAAATCCTGAAAGGCACGCTGGCATAGACACACATATACTTCTAGCCAGTTTAACTCTTAAAAAGGAAAGTTATTGGCGTAACTTACGAATCAACATGAAGAACTCTCTGGCCACTTCTGGCACATGCCGCTGCAATAATAGATTCAGGCAAACCTGAAAGGACACATGCAATTTTTAGAACTTAGTATGCTAAGATACATTAAAAAATGAAATAAAGTTAGAACTTGGTCAGAAACAGGCAATTCAAACAAAAGAAAATTTACAATGTGAGTCACTGAAATTTTTAATACTCTCATGCTACTAAAATAATCAACAGTATTTTGTGTTCATTAACATTTTCCTATGCCCCTCCTGAATGCCACACTTTTTTTCTTTTTTTTAATAGTTGCATGGCACATGTCACTTACAAACACTACTGCCTCCGAGTTAAAGCTTGTCACCAGTGTCTTCTCTAGACACCTTGTTATCATAAACAGATTGAGCATTTGCCAGCACAATGATACCCAAATTTTAATGGGATGCTCTGTAACTGTATCCCTCCTGATACAGACAGGTATTATCTGAGGGCATTTTTGTGTATTTTTGTTCACTTCAAAGTGTCTGACATAACGTGAAAACTGTGTAACCACCCATTAAAATGGTGTTTTAAAATTAAGAAATTTATGGTAAATGCTGCATGCCCTGCTATATTGTCCAAGGATGCACTGGAAAGTACGAGGGTATAAACCTGTTGGCATGGCATTAAACCATTGTGTATGGCAGACAGAGTCCTGGCTCCTCCATATCATCTGTTGGCAAACATCTCTAGTGTGAACAGGTCTCAGAACTGTATTTGGACTTTGTTTCCGATGAACTAATTGGTTTGCTCCAAAAGAGTACCCAGGAGCACACTCAATATTCTGCATGCAGACCAAGACCTGAGTGTAAACAGAAGAGCTAAACTGACAGTGCAGGTGTACTTTGACTTCACATTTAAGAGTAGTGTTACAGACAGAATGAATCTGAGATGGTTGTCCTTAAAGTGGTACCCCTATCAAAAGCGCCTACATCATGCAATTCTGCTCTGTCAAATCAGTATGTTTTCATTATATGTAGAAAAGATATGTAGTAAAAAAAAAAAAAAAAAAAAAGGCTACTGATATTTCTCTACCAGCAACACCTGCGTGGAACAGCACATGATACCACCTGGAGGTTTAATAAACAAACTAGGCTGTTCTCCAACTTCTGCTCCCACTCACCAGATTTTTACATGCACAGTTAGATGACTTTGATTTCTGACTAGATTCAGAAAAGAAGTATAGCTCGCTATCTAAAAGGCTGCATGGCACTAGCTCTGCTGAAATCTCTTTTTAAATGATCTATTAGCTGTTTAAGCAGGTAATTCAGTAAAAGCGATTAAAATTCTAAGGGACTGGTATTAGGAGACACTTAGGCTACGTATTCAATTAAGGGATGAGATTAAACAAAGTGAAAGGAGTGTTTCACTGATCTGATTTACAGCACAGCGCCAGATGCAGCTATACTAGTACAACTGAAGAGAGACAGAACTGAAAGTGGAAAAAACAGGTGTGGTAGAGCACAAACTTCTTTGGCTAGCTTCGTGCCAAACACCATCTTCATGAGAATTTCAGGCCTGCAGTTGTCTATTTCTTCAGAGGGAATACTGCCTTCACAAACAAATAAAAGGTCAGCATGTTGCCAATCTGATGATTAATTTAAAACACATAATGCAGTATGTTTACTATTTACTATTTGTAAGGTATCAGTTTTCACTTACTTAGAGTAAGACTTAAAGTTAAACATATTAAGTACAATTCAGCACTCACAGAGACAGGAACAAATAATTTTAAATGATTGAGCTAGTCTTCATTAATTCTAGAACCTGAAATGCAGTCTAGAGAACACCTAGCGGGACTTAAGATACACAAGACCATAGTTTTATGAACTCTACGCCAGCAAAGGCAAACACAACCATCAAAATAAAGAGGTTCAACCTCTCTACCTTTATCTTTGGCCATATCTGACCTCCTTCCACATGAAATAGTCAGTTTTTGGCAAACCAGTTCCATGGTGGTGTTGGCAGTCCAAAAGTACAAATGTTTGTATCAATATAAGAAAGGAGGTTTAACACAGGCATGACAAATTTTCAAGGAAAATAGCTACAACTTCCCTGCAAATTCTCGATTTTTAACACTTACTATTTTGATGGATTAAAAAAAGAAAATCCCTTTCTGAACTGATAAAACAGAACAAGTTACAATAGTTCTGCATTGCTGACCTTCCACAGCAAGTGAAGGCTTATAATGGAATTAATCTCTGGGGCTAGAAAAAGGGATAAACAATTGCATCAGTTCCTGGGACATTCGTTTCACAGCCTAGAAAGGCCGATAGTCTTTAGAGTTGAATTTTTTGAAGAAAGAATTCAAAACACGGTCCATTCTGAACAAAGAGACAAGGAGAAAATATGTAACTGCAGCACGCACTTCAGGACAGTCACAAGATCCTGGATGCACACAGCCTTATTATGTGAAAGCAACTCCACATCCAGCTGTCCTCCGAAAGTGTTTATATACACGTTTCATTTCTCTCCATCTATAAACTAACTGGAATAGAATCTACAACTACTATTTTGTTTGTAGTTACTGAAAAAGCTTTTCTTTCCCTCATTTGGGCACAGAGAATATTACTCTGGAAATAGAATTGAGAAAATTGTTTCTCCTTCCTTATTGATAAAAGCCACTGGGAGAGTGTTGTAAAACATCACCAGTGCTGCCTGGCTGATCAGAACTGGAGTTATAGCTACTAGGGCATAACTGATTGCTTTAAGCTTGATGCAATTGATACTGTGTTGGAGGTCTGTTCTTCCATTAACCTTGGATGAAATTGTTCCCTGAATTAGCTTCCTTGCTCTTGAAAGCGGGCATCAATTTTCTTCATCAACCCTTTGCTTCCAAGATACTGTGGCCCCCCGAGTACCCACTGGCAACAGAATGAGAAAGTGTGAGAAAGGCAAGGCCCATGCATTTTAGCTTTTGGAGAGGCTCTTAGAACAACTTGATGGAGCAAGACACCATTTATTCTTACATGACAAAACCTCGGTAAACCAAGGAAATAAGACTGTGCCTTGGCACCAGTTTCTGAATTCTCTTCTCCAACAGAAATAAAATCACATGGAAAATAGGTAGCTTTGTCAAATGCAAGTTACTCCTACATGTGATCTGGACTGCATGATGGTTACTTTACAATAGCCTTTTCCACGAAAAAAAGCTCTGGTAAACAGACCATTATAATATAGTTATGGATAGTCCCTCTCTACCTAAGAAAAAAAAAACTACTTGGAAAAGCCTCCTTAGAGAAATGGTAGAGATTTATTTAACGATAGCACATGAAGCTGAACTATCTCCTACAGGATGCTCACATAGTTGTACAAAATAGGTCCCCTTCAGATTAGTCAGTAACAGAGAAATACAGTCTTTTTAAAAATTGTTCCTATTTGGAAACAGTTTCCTATTCTGAACTTTGATTTGGCAAAAACTCCAAGCTGGATTATATAAAAATTTTGAAATGCGTTCAGACCCTAGCTACGGGGCAGAGCAGCCTCCAAAACTTCTCGCTCACAGTTTGGTTTAAAGATAATGATTTATTACAGAATTCAAGTGATTGCAGGGGAAAGGCTATATCCCTGATATTGATTCTGAAGTTTCACGCCTAATGAGTAAATAAAGCTGGGTATCTCTAAGCTGTTTTTCTCACGAAGGATTATTCTAATGCTTCCTGCCACTCATCCCTCTTGGGGAACAGTCAGCTCCTGTTTTGCCAGCTTAAGGGATGAAAGGACATACCACTATAACCTGTGTCACTCATGACGTTTTTGAACAAACAGTTGACTAATGATTTGGATCCAATAACTTGCATCAAAGAACAGCAAGATCTAAATGAGAATCTACATTTTCTTTTAGATTATTAAAAAAAAAGTCTAAGATGGTACTATCGAAATCAGTAATCAAAATACTGAATCATCTGCCCTCTGGTATAATTAATAGTAACCAATATTTTCCTACTAAGCTATTATGCATATTAGTTACTGTGAAACACAGCACACATCTCATTTTATTGTATCTGAAACAAAAAGAGCTACTGCAAAAGAACATTTTCTCAAATAAGGTTCCAAATCCAGACAATTTTTAGATTTCCAATGGTATTAGCAGGAAATAAGAAGTCTGAATAGGAATTGCATGATCCAACTGCAAGAAAGCAGCAGCAGATCCAGACTTCAGTATGTTATACATAAACATCTGGCAGCATAAAAGGGATTTACGTAGAGGAATAAGAAGTCCATACAATTCTTGTATCAATTTAATATGCTGACTCGGAAGTTCTTCGTATTTGAGGCAGAATCAATTCAGAAATAGCAGTGCTTGTTATCAAGAAGTATAAACACTTTCTGTGCTTCCTGGCCCTGTCATATCCCCCTTTAGAATGCTTACACATGAAATATTTGCATTATGTTAAATTGTCCTGCACCTCATTTCTCTTACCAGGAAAACAACGATAAAGAGTCTTCCTTCATGAGGGAGGACCGATTACTACCAGTGGAAATCTGTATCATCATTCCTTAAAGCCATTGCCTTCTTTCTCCACTTACTAACCTCCATTTATCAGTTGCAGTATTAGGTAAATTAGCCTCTCTGGCCTTCTCAAGGAAACATTAATTTAAAATTTCAATAAAGTAGGACATTACATCTGCAGACAGATATAAAAACAAGTATAAAATCAGGGATTTTACTCATTAGTGATCTCTGGGTCACTAACATGTTTTAATAGGTAGAATTCCATAGGTACTTCTTGACACCTATCCAGAAAACGATGCATTCACGTGAATCCGTGACACTGCCTCATTGAAATACAAGTGCAAAGTCAAAGTGAAGCAACTTCTAAGTCTTTCTAGTACTGGTCCGGGAAGAGGGCTGACTACATACTTCCTTTTCTGTGTTAGGACTTCTTGCATCCTGTTGGAAAGATACTGATAAAAAAAAATGGCACATTAAATTGTAGTAAGCTGGCTCTAATTAGACTAACAAACATGTTGGCATGGCTCACTTCAGCATGTGGAAACTGAAGTTAGGCCTACAAACCTTTCTGTTTCTCCAGCT